GTTATTTTTTTGAAAAAAAAGCTTTCGGACTGAAGTCCCCTCCTTCCCCCCCAAAAAAATTAAATCCTAGATCCGATAGTGCTTAATAATACAACCGTCAACTATTGAGTATAGAATCTAATTGAAAAAACAAAACAAGAAAATACCACTAATATGCACAAATCAAAAACTCTGCAGTTATACAAACTTTTTTTAATTATATGCTATAATGATATATTATTATATATTTTGGACTTACCTTCTTTTTTTTTTGTCTTTATGCATGGAAATATTAGCCAATATGACGGTCCACACAAATAAAGTGTTTAACAATTTATGTTATTTGATATAATAAGCCTAAATAAGGCGTATATAATTTCTAGTCGATGAGTTAATATAAGGACTGTAGGAATGGTTGTAGGTAGGGGAAATTGTTTTTGATGAGGTAATGATAGAAGATAATACGGCCGGTGGATGTATTTGGACAGAAAAGGAGAACATCGTTGGCACCGGCTAAGGAATGGTCGCAGGAACAATAAGGAGAGTTCATGATATTTATGTGAAAGAAATGGAATGGTAGGCTATTGTGGTTGAAGTAAAGGCGTGATATGGAAGTTAAGAATTTTCTGGAAACTTTGAAGGGTCAGAAGCAAGGAAATCGTTGGATTTTAGGTTGAATAGCTTTAAAATAACATCTCCTCATACTGGCAAAGTATTTTCTTTTTACTTTGCTGTAGCAAGTATTTATTTAGATGAGTCTTAGTATCTCTCGCTGATACGGTCGACGGTATAAGCCTCTTCTCTAGCAAGCTTGTCAACCTGGCAGGTAAACATTTACCTATTTTTTTAAAAACTAACTTAATAAATTAGGGTATGGCCGGGATAAATAAATAAAAATACACACACACGCACACACATACACACACACACACACATATATACATATTTTTATTATAATTTTGAAAATTCGGTTGTGTACTAAATTGGAATAAATAGGATGTTATTCTATGTGAAGATCGTATTTTATAAAAACTAGGAACATTGACGAAAAGCTCAAATATGTATGTGAATATTAAGAACTATATTAAATATCAAGGGTTACAAATTAAACAGCTTCATTTTAAATTAATTTTTCACAGTTATTTAAGCCTTAAAGAACTTCGGTAATTTATTATGTGTATTTAAAACATATTTTTTGTATTTAAGTATCTAGGAAAGAAAACTATATAAGTATACAGTTACAAAATATATATATATATTTTAAACTATTTATTCAAGATATTTACAATTGTATTACAATATAAATACATCAAGTAAATGTGTATACAAGAATATGATCACTTCAAAAAGCTTGTTGAGAAACTACCCACAGGTAGCACTCTAATAATATGTCTACATAAGGAGATCACGGGGCCATCTTCTTTTCAGACACCTCGGAGGGTTATCAGGAATTGAAGAGGAAGCAAGGTTAGAAACGAGAGGATTCGGATGGTTATGAAGTTTATTACGGAAGGATAGATATCTGGATTGGGCCAAATCAGAAACATATGGAACATTAAGGTCATTATGGATTATTTTATTTGTGACAAAGTAAGGAGCATTGAAGATTTTACGAAGGATTTTGGTTTGTAAGGATTGGATATGATAGGAATTTGATGGTTTAGTGCAGCCCCATAGCTCAACTCCGTAAGTCCAAATAGGTCTTAGTATAGTCATGTATATTAGTCTTTTGTAATTAATTGGAAGTTTAGAGCGTTTGTCTCGTAAGTGTTGGAGTAAGCGGAAACGTCGAGCAGTTTCTTGCCGTTTCAGTCTTGTATGAGGATTCCAAGTGAGACGTTTGTCCAGGTGGAGTCCAAGATATCTTATTTGTTCAACAGAAATAAGTGGGGTGTTATTAAAGGATACTGCAGGACAGGAAGTCATAGGTTTACGACGAAGGGTAAAGGACAAAAAATATATATATATTTTTTAAGTATTTCATTTGAAGTAATATTCAAGTCTTTTTTTGCATAAGTGATGTTGTAAGTATGATGAGTTCAAGATCACTTACAATATTACTGCTAGATGAATCAGGCGTTCCGCTTTTTAACGTTTTTGTTCAGCGTGACGCCCTGCTTTCCAACCAAGTGCGGAAGTGAATGCTTAATGCCTGCTTCGATCTGAATGAATAGGTTTAATTTTTTTTTTTTAATATCCTGGTATGAGGTAAGCTAAAGCATTATAACTGAATATGAGTGAGTATGTTTTACATACACGGGTTTAAATTACAGGACAGTCTCTATAATCCGAACATGAAAGAAAAAAAAGTTTAAGTTGACTGACGAGAGACTGACTGGAAATGGTTCTGTTCTTCAATACTGAAATCGCTTCGTGTTGCAGTCATAGGTGCAGACTTCAAGGGGACGAGGGGGACAATCATTCCCCAATAAAAATATTGAGGAGGGAAGCGAGATATCGTTTCGCCCCCCTACCAATAATTTGAAGTAAAAACAAATTAAAATTGATAAAAAATAAGCAACATGCCAACATATAAGTAAATAACTAACTATAAGTAGGTACGTTACTATTTTATCATAAAATAAATATTCCTATTATTTAAATTTTCATTTATATTTTTGGATAATAATGTACAAACATATCTTAGGATTTTATGATTCTTTCACCTCTCATATGGTCACCTCCATTTTCACGTGATTTTCTTATAAATTTGGAAAAAATATATTTAATAAGTAGAAGTAAAAATTTATTTTATAGAGAATGTTTTTATAGACATTTTTGCACGACTAGTTAGATTCTGAAAACATTGTATTTTCATAGTAAGGTACAAACTATGAAATAGTGTTGCCCACAATCAGTCTTGGTCTTGCACTTTACAAGACCAAGACCAAGACAGATAAAAACAAAAATAAATAGTTTTTATGAATAAAAATTAAGTCAAAATAGTTACTAATACTTGACAATTTTACTTACTATATGTAAAGAATTGGTATAACCAATATACTTTTGTATTTAAGTATTCAAATTTTTCATTCGGGCTTAGTTAGGTTTACCCTAACTGAAATATCACAATAAAATCTTTATATTAATAGGCTAATAGGTAACTGCAAGACTGTTGTGAGACTCTTGCGCAAGACCAAGATCAAGACTGAGTGCGCAAGACCAAGACTCGTCTTGGTCTCACATTTGGACAACACTACTAAGAAATCAAAAATATTTTTCAGTTTTTTAATATTATTCATTTTAGCTGTAAAAATTACAGAATGTAGCTATGTTATGAAGACTGACCCTCTATTTTCCACAATAGTTTTTTTTTTCTTTCACGTGAGTGTCCAATTTCCGGAGATATATTACCTGAAAAGTCAAAGTTTTTCTTAAATAATTTTTTTTAAGAAAGATTACAAAACAAATTTTAATGCCAGTAAGAATGACTCGATAATTTCAATAACAGATGTGAAATAAATTTTTTATATTATTTTTTATTTCACTGAACATTTTTTTGAAACCTATTTTATTTTTCATTATTGACATATCATAGGAAGGCCTTTGATAATTGAAGTAGCCAAATGGATAAAACATCGTCTAACGAAGTTTGGTACTTTTAAAGAATTTGAGAGATCGGGCGATTTCTTTAAGCAACAAAATCAGATACGCATCGCACATTATATGATAATTTTCAGAAATAATCTTTTTAAGAAGCAATATGTTTATGTTTAACTGATGATTTATATATTTTCGTTACTTTGCGGATTTTTCCCCATTATTTTGAATTTAACCCTTTATAATCCGAACCGGCTAAGGCAGAACTGAACTGGAGTGAAATAAAATAAAAATATTAAGATTATCGCAACATTGTAAATATCCACACTACGTAATTAGATAAAAGGAAGAATTAAAAGAAACGAACTAGAACCGTAAGCCTTTTATTCACAATTTGACAACAATTTTTTGTTTCCAATTTGTAATGGAAACATTTTTGCGTACTACATTTTGTTTCTTTTGTAATCTCACCAGAAATACGAAAATTCATTTGAAGATTAATTTTCAGATATCAAATAAATATTTTAAAAGGAAATAATAATAAATAATCCATATGTTGTCTTTACAACTTCAGAAAGCTTATGCATAGTTCCGTATAATTACCTTTGTTTATTATTGTAATAGTGTGTGTTGTAGATTGGAGAGTGTTAGTAGAAGCTTAGAACTGAATGTTTTTAAATAGTTCATTTCTGTTATATTTTTTTTTTGGATGTTTGGACTATTACGGAAGTTGTCTTTCTAGGTATTTATCAATTTGATAGAACGCGTCAAATTTGTATTATGTCTAATTGTTTAATAGCCGAGGAAACTATACAGTTATAGCTTTTAACTTTTAAGTTTTATCTGAAAACAAAATTGTTACATGAATATATGATTTTATAATTGAGTCGCTTATTTCCAAAGTATTTTAAAAAATATTCGAATTATATATTATGAATAATATATAATAAATGAATACAACGTAATAAACACATGCCATCATTATAAATAAATGTTATTTTACTATTATTTTAAATTTTTTAAATATTTTTTATGTACAATTTAAAAAAATGTCTCTCTCTCTCCCCCTCCCCCTCCCCAAATCACAAACAATTTTTCTCTCCAAATTGAGTCCTAATCAATGTTTATTAGTTACAAAAAGGGTCTTGAATTTTAATTGCTTACAAGTGTAGTCCTATTTTAGTTTCTATGTTGTTTAATAAATATTAAAATAATTAATGATTTACAGAAATATGTTCTGCAAATAAAGAATTTCGTTAATATATTTTTTAAACAATATTTGTTTTGATATTACAATTGGAATAGAAAATAGAGTTTTTATTGTTCTAGAAAATTTGTTAATGATAATTATGGTTCACTTTGGGAATAAACGACTTAAATAACTATTTTTGATTTCCTTGACTATAAAACAGGCTAATAAATAACCTTAACCCGGTATCAAAGAAAATTAAACCAGCTGATATCATTTGTTTATTATTGATTGTCGTTGAGTTAGTACCCGAGGCACACCCCGCAGCGCAAGCGCTTTCCCAGTCCGGCGTCAAAGGGATGGCGAAAGGCGAGAGGGTGGATTGTCAGTTAGGAAATGTTCTTTGTGCAATAAAATCATAGACAGTGATGCTGAGGAATTCAAAACATCTGAGAGAGCAAAGAATATATTGGATGAACTTTGAAATAAGTTCGATTACTGGATAATAAGAAATTCATTATGAACTTCCGTTACTTGATTACGAACCAAATTAGGCATCAGTAAACTTAAAAAAAAAAAAAAATTAAACGAAGTTTAAATATTGGAAGATATTTTTTACCTTGTACAATGGGTAATCTACAGTCTGAAGGTAAGCGGCCTAAAATTCAGAAGGGGAAAAAGTCACCATTCAAAGATATCAGTAAACAGTTCACCTCGATCGGGGATGTGAAAGGAAGTAGTGGGGAGATCACGAAGAGTGGAGGGGTCAGCGAACGCAACTACCTGGTTACAGACTCATGGCGGCGCGTATGCCGAATAGAACAAGGGGATCTTGGAGAAGAGGAGCTAAGCATCCCGAGCAAGGAAAGTAGCAGTGGAGAATCTGTCTTCCAGGACCCTCAGGGTAATGACAGCTCCCAGGGGAATGAAGAAGAAGAAGTCACCCTGACTATGGACAACAGTGACGGTTCTTCGACGCTCATAGCCACAGAACCGATGGAATCGCCTGTCACCATAAAAGAACTCCAAGGGACCATGTTCACTCTCGTAAAGCATCGCAAGATTGATCTAGGTTCGACTAGAATCAGTGATCAGTCTCTTAATGACATCCTGTCTGGTGAGTATCAACAGGTTTCATGGCTACTAGGACCAGACAAAAAAAAAAAAATGTATGGACACCCTGTGTAAACAATACTTCATTCAAAGCCAATGTTGACCTACCTTAATTTGTTTTGAATACATATGTAGGTTATGTTTTTCTTCATGTTATCTCTAATGTTATGATTTTGATGACAGATATTACAAATCTATAATACTCAATAATTAGTGCAAATTACCACTGTCTGACAGTTTATTCTTTATCATGCCATTCATTATCATTGTGATACATTAAATGTATTGTTTGAAATTATGCCGTATTGATTACTGACAGTAATTAATGACTTAGTGTTTAGTGTGTTGGGGTCGAATTAAGTATTCTAGAACCATAAATATTTCTTCATTGAAAGGTACTGGGCTATCCTAAGATTGGTTTTTAATTGATCACTACATAACACTGGTTAGGTTGTGTCTCTTACATATACTTATTGTTATGATTTTGACAAAATAGATCATCAACTCTGTGTAATGTGGCATGACAGCTTACACTAACACTGGCTTAATTATATTATATATTTTCATTATGTTACATTGAATGTATTGATTAAAAGCATTCATAGTATAATGTGAAAAATCTCTTTATGACGTCCTTTGTCTTGTATCTTTCAGCTGCAGTAAATATTGGTATTAGGACTACAAAAAATTGAAATGAACACCCTGTTTAACATTCATTCATTGAAAGTTACTGACCTTCCTTAAGTTTGTTTTTAACTGTTCACTAAATACACAGGTTATGTTTTTGTCTTAGCATGTTATATTTGCAGTTCCGATTCTGGTAAAATTTCTTATAATTCTATACCTTTTGCTTTGTGCTAATTAAGACCTAAATCTTTGATGTATAACATTGCTTGTCAGCTTGTACTTAATTTCATTTATTTTCACTGTTTTACATTAGATGTATCTGTTAAAAGTATTCAGTATTTATAGCATACAGTTATAAGGCTTTTGCAATGTGTTAGGTTCAAATGAAATATTGATTCACTGAGCCATAACAAATTTTAATGAACCCTCCCCCCCCCTTTGTTAACATTACTTCATTTAAAAACACTGACCTGCCCTAAAATCCAATATATACCCAGGTTATATTTGTGTTTTCTCAATGTATAACGCCTAGTGTTTTGATTTTTGTAAAAGGTGTTTCAATTATGATCTGTAATGTGACAGTTTAATAAGTTATGTTCATTATTTCATGTATTTCCTAAGTGTTATGGAAACCAAATTTAAGCATCGAAAATATCTCAAACTCTTAATGTCATCCTGCCTTGTATAAACAGGTTTCTTGAGGTCAAATTTTTGTTCTGAAACCTTTATAAAAAACCAAAATGAACATCCTATCTGAACATAAATTCACTAAAAGCCAATATTTTCCTGTCATGGGTTTTTTTTTTAATGGTTCTTTTTTTTTTTGGTGTCTTCCATTCCATGGATTTGTTTTTAACTGTAACAAAAAAAAAAATATAATTTTAAATTTATTTAAGAAGTTATTTCTTGATGTTATTGAAAATAAATCATTAAGTAACATTTTATAAAAATAAATCACTAAGTACTCTGATGAATTTTTAATCAGAATATGTGTACTTAATGAAACTCTTTTTGATTTTTAACAGAATCTAGGTCATTTGGATGCTCTTACTGTGTTTTGGTATCAATAAATAAGGTTGAAATTTTGCAAAACCTTATTTAAAACTTTGTTTCCACCGAAAATCTACCTAGTAGGTTTTTGAAGTAAACCGACCTAACCTGTTCTATGAAATTCATAGAAATATTAAAGTTTATGTTTTTAAGCACTAAACCTATTTTCAGAACTGTACACTTGATATACTATGATATTTAATATTATATTCTTGTCATGTTTTTATTTATTTAAAATAACTAAATACTCTAATTCAAATTATCCATTTGTTATTATTAACACTTCAGTGACTTTTAGCAAGAATAGTGAATAATGTTGAAAAATGTATTTACATTTCTTATGTTGATACTTTAATCATCAAATGATTTAGTTTTTAAATTTTGTTATCCAAAATTCATTTTATCTAGAAACTAGGTATATGTGTAAAAATTATAAAATGTTTTTAATCACAAACTTTCATGAAGCGTATTTTAATTATATTGAGCAGATTTTTATATAACATGAAAAATAAAGACTTTAATTTGCTCTTAACTTCAGAAAAAAACAATTAGACAGTGATATTCTAACAGCTTAGTACTAAATATTAATCTAATTTATTTTATATTTATACTTTTTGAACCATTTTAATAAATTTGAAATGGTAATAAATTTAATGAATAGTAATAAAGTTATTAATTTTATTGTATGTCTATAATAATAAATATTTTATTTAATTCATCTATAAACTCGACTATTTATTAAATCTAATTTAATTTGCTTTTTCTTTCATTATTAATGATTATTTGTAGTATAATATTAGCCTCACTATATTTATACTGATAATAATCTCATTATGTTTTTAAATAAATGTGTTAGCCATGAAAGTAAAAATTATTTATTACACAATCAGAAGATTATCTTTGGAATCATATAAACTGATAAAACTAATCCTCTGTTCTAATTCACTTGGAATGCATTTTAAATAATTCTTTTTGAGAAATTAAAAATTGATCCCTAGTAAAAATAATAGTTTTACTTTTATTTATTTAACAATTGTTCTTTTTTTATTATACTGTGTTTGAATTCGCTTTTATTATATGTTATATGATTCTTTTAATTTTGAAAGGAGGAGGAGGTAAAGATGACAGGAGTACTCCAGAATCAAGACGACATTCGTCCATGAGCGATGCCCCTCCTGAGAGTAACGTCTTGAGGAAAGTAGCCAGTTTGACTCTCGATAGAGCTACACTTGACCAAAAGATCACTAGACCAAAGTTTGTTCCTGAGAAGTTGGATTTTCAACTTTACGAAAAATTTGAAGGTACTCTTTTATATTTAGGTTTGTTCGCTAATTTAATTTATCCATTTTTATTACTGAAAATAATAATTTGACTTGGGTGTATTCCTGAAATATTCAAGAATCGCTTGTTTTGTTATTTTTCTAGAGAAAGAATAAAGGTTTATTGTGGCAGATATAGTCGAGTATTTGCATTAAACTTCTATCTATAAAAAAAAAAATCAAATCTAATTTTCACTAAGAGTATGTTTAGTTTACATTCAAATAATCGGTGATTGAACGTCAAATTTCAATCAAAGTGATTGAATATGAAATAATTGAAGTATTGAACTGAATTTAAAAAAAAAAAAAACAGATTTTACAGTTTAAAAATGTATCAGAAAATTCTAAATTTTGGAGATCGGGATCTATTCTTAAAATTTTAAAAAATTGCTGAATTGGTGTTGCAATGTAATAACCTTAAAAAAAAAATGCCTTTATTACTTTTTAAACCCTAAAAAATAACTGAAATTGTTTTTAGTAATCCTAAGAGGAAAAGTTACAACCTTTCTATACTTCAAAATTTATGTATATCGAATATTTTTTCAAGCACTCTTCAGTATATACAGAGTTAGCTGTAGTAGTTATTTTTCCTTTGCAAAATGACTTAGCTTGCGTCTGCTATGCTTGAATGAAAATAAGAATTTGTATTACTATTAAACCTCCTACCTTAAAATAAGAAGGAAGATATGTTAATGGAGTGGGAGAGTTAAGATGGCTAAATAATGCAGAAATGTTAGATATCACTCAATAAATATAGTTAATAATAGTTGTTGTCATCTCTAAACATTATTATTATTTCTATTTTTTATTCTCACTTTACGGGGCGAGTTTCTGAGATCAGAAGTCCAGCCACCTTCTTCTTATTATTTATTATTTTATTAGATGTTAAAAAGTTTCTAATAATATGTGCTGTACCTAAGAGAAGTAAGTGTTGAGCCTCTTTCAGCACACCAAGAGGTAATTTTAAACCAATCGTGTCTGCCACTATTGACTTTGGTATCACTCTATTGGAGGGTATCATAATTGGAGTGGTGGTGACGCTCTCCAAATGATATAATTCCTTCAATTCTATTCCCAGCTCCTGATATTTTCTTAATTTTTCTCCAACAGCGGAGCTTTTTATTATTATTATTGCCATTGAGTTCAGTATAGAAGGTATTCTGATCAATTAAAGGTGTTCTGGTCAATTATTTATTTTGATGCTTATATGCTTTGTATCAGATTTGTTTCAGTCCATATCATACTGTTAATCTAATATATACAATACGGTCTCATAAGCGATGAATTTTGCCAACAAACAAGATGTCAAAAGAAAGATAATTGACAGATGAGAAATGAAAAATTTTAAATTCCAATTTCAGTCCTTAAATTTGTACTACAACTTCAGTACAAAGAATTGAAAAAAAATAAGTTTCAAAACTCTGATATTGATAATTCAATGGATTAAGATTGGACAAACTGTTTTAAGATTTAAATGCAGAAGGCACCAAAACCTGCGAAAGTTCCTTTGGACCTAGTCTTTAAAGCCATAAATGTATAGTTTTTGAGATAAACCATAATTGTCCCCGAAACCCTTCCAGGCTTCATGGCTTATAGATGCTTCACATATATAGGTTTTTAAAATTTAAAATATTTTTATTTATTATAGTCTACGACAATCTAAAAATTGATTGAAAAGGTAAAGAAAAAGGATAGTTCTAACATCTTTTGGTTATTTCAGATAATATAGAAATAAACTATTTGATATTTTAAATGAAAATATAAACATGTATTGTGGGTATGTTATAATTTTCTAGGTTGTCATTATCGCCATAGCTGTGATGAAGTTCTTATTAATTCAGGTCTGGCTTCTATAATTCATTCCTTATAAGTGAGATAACTATATACCAAGTATCATACTCTTTTGCACCAACCCAATATGTCTCGACAGGTACAATATTAGTTTGAAGTTTGCTAAGTCCTAAAGAGATATTTTTCTGTAGAGCAAGCTAATTACTTATTTAGTAAACTGTTATTTAAACATAGCTTTATAAAGTAAATAGTTGTATTACAGATTATAAATATTTCACTAATTGTATGTGATAAATGAAAAAAAATTTTCTGGTACCACTTAGTCTTTTAATATATTAGGCAGAAGGATAGATATCTTAATTGAAAGTTCTCGTATATGTATGCTGATTTACACTTATATGAAAATTTTATAGTATTAAAAAAAAAGGGAGGTTGATTTGGGATCAGAATACTAACACATGGAGAAGAAAGACCAATAAAGAGCTACTTAGAGAAACTTGTCAATCAATATTTCATGATATGACGACATGGAGGTTCAGATGGGCGGGGCATGTAGCTCAAAGAAATCCATCTGGAAGCCTCCACACGACAACAATGAATGCCTCAATAGTAGGCAAAAGACCACGTGGAAGACTGAAAATTGGATGGATGGACAGATCGAACCAACAAAGATGCATTAGAGCTGCATGCAAATAACTGGAAAGAAATAGTCCAAGATAGTCAGAGATTGAGTAGGCTTATTAAGGCGCCAAAAGATCTACAAGGTCTAATGCTAACAGAAAAAAAAAAATTGAATACTCAATGGTTAACCATAGCATAATATTATTAAGAAAAGAGATGGTCGTTAGTATGATTACCATCTATACGATTCATTGTAACTGAAAGAAAGAAAGTGTTAGTGTTTTAATTATGTTATTGAATTGCTTATTTTACATAAATTTACTTATTTATTAAGTACTATAAATTTTTGGTTTTATTTTTAGTATATACATGAATAAATCAGATGGTTTTCCGACACATGAGCAGGTTACAGAAAGGTGTATTACATAGATTTTCAAAATTTTAACGATATTCCCCGTGCTTTGTTAATTCTTAGCAACTGCGAGTGACGTATCTGTCGGAATAAAGAAATGCTTACAGAATCTGGTCAATCAATATCTCATGATATGGAGGCAAGAGAGTTGAGATGAGTAGGGCATGAAGTTCGGAATATGAACATCGGGCATGAACATCAGGAAGCCTAGTTGCTAAGAAGTAAAAAACCAAGAACAAGAAAAACAAGAAAAAAAATCTGTCAGAACCAACACAGAAGTATAAAGACTATTTTATTATTAGATATGTACATATATTCCAAACAAATAATTTATTTTTAATTGGTGATATAAATTCTAGTTATTAATTAATTTAAAAATTCTGTTATTTATAAAAATTTTAGGTTTATATGAACTGTCTTAGTAAAAATTTCTATCAAGTGTTACATTTCTTTTTTTACTTTGTCCGAAAAAGGAATCTATCCTACAGATATTTTATAAATGAAAGATATAAAAAAAATGTTAATTGAATTTACTTATTAGATTATAAATATGTGTTGATATTATATTCAACAAATAAAAATATTTTTGAATATTAATATGTACATTTGTAAATATTATTTATTTTTTATTGAAAAGTATTCTATACATCTTTGATATCAGTATATTTTTAATCAATTAACAGCTGTTACATATTTAATGATATATTTATTTACTTCTATTGCCTATAACTTAACCTTGCTTTGTTAGTAATGAAAGCTTTTTTTTTATATAATGGATTTTATAAAGTTTTTATAGTTGTATAACTTACTTGAACAAGTGAGAAAAGTATCCGAAAATCAAGGTTTTCATATAGTTATATAATTGTACTACTAAAAACATTAGAAAAAAAAACCTTTTTTTTTTAATCTCAGCGAAATGAACTAGTCTTCAAGACAATTGAACACAGACTGGACTCCATAAAAGACAAGAGTAGGTCACCAATGGTGGTGTCACATTACATAATTTTGCATATATTTTCCTCTGTGTAGGAAGGGAGGAGTTTGAGAAGGAGTCTTAAACCGTCTAGCAAATGGAACACACCCGACGAAACTATGTTAGAATATCCGTTGTTTTTAAAGGTATTTGCCATAGAAAAAAAAAATACCAACTGATTTTTTTTTTTTAATTAACCTCTTATAACATTATATATACAAACATATTTATTTTTTCATAAACTTATAATTACGTATTAACTGAGATTATTATATCTCGAATAAAATAATTTACTAACTAAAATTGATTTTTTTTTTTTTTAAGGAAAAATTAATGGTAAAATTATATTTAAATATTTTGTATATATTAATAAGGTGTGGAAAAACGATAAAAAAATTAAATAAATAAACAAAAAACTAATATATTCTAACATATTAAAATAAATGATAACATGATTTGAAGAAAAAAATAATTTAAATAAGTGAAGGAACTCTGCTGTCTTGTGATGAACTGAATCCAGGTGTTCAACTCCCCACTCCTTGGAATTTTTATGGGTTGTTTAGCAAGATTAGACCTTGGGATTTAAATCACGAATAATAATGATTTGTTTTAGAAAAGTTAATGCTAATTTGTTTGTTTTCATTTTATTATTCTAGTTGGTCTCATGTTCTGTTTAATTTGAGCAGTAGCATTGTTAGTTTGTATGGAGTTGTGATTTTTGTCTTCACTTGTATTTATTTCCTATAGTTTAAAATTAAAAAAAAAAAAATGGCCCTCTTTATGCTTGAGCCCTATGAATCAATTTTTACAATATTTATAATTATTTATGCTTATTACTTGAGATCTTGGCTTTTATTTATTGTCAGTGCTATTGTTGAATTATCGGCTACTGTTGTTTTTAAATACCCTGGTACATTTTTGTTTTATAGTAGCGTACTTTTAATGTTCCAGATAGGAAGTGTAGGTTAATTAAAATTTATTAATAATTAATAGGGGTTATTAAATTTTGTAAGAAAGAAAAATGGTTAAACTGTTACCTACCATTGATTTTAGAAACTGTCTTATTTTTAGTATTTTAATATTATATTTTATGTTTAATTTAAATTTTAATCTTTAAAAAAATTTTATCTAGTCAAACTAAATTTTTTATTATAATTTTTAACAATGCTTACAATTTTAGTATACTAATTAATATCCTTCAGTATAAAATATATTTTTTCTTCTTAAACTTTATAGAATTGTTATTTTGCATTGAATAATTTTATTCATTTCTTGCAATGGTTCAGTTAAAATTAAAAAAAAAAATAGCACTAGAAAATTTAGTTCAACTATTATGCTTAAGATAAATTTTTTATTCTTAAGTTAACGTTGAAATTTCACTGTTAATGAAATTAATTTTGATTAAATGTATGTATTCAATGTTTTAAAATATTTGTTTACCATTACAAATTATTCAAAATAATCTATGAATCTGTATATTTTAATTTATTTAACCGAGTTTTGTTGTCAAATATATTTAGTAAATTTTGCAGAAAATTGTAATAAGTTTTAAATCATTCTTAAAAACGTGGATATGTTCAAAGGTAGTTTAATTTTTTTAAATATTGAATACTAGGTATATTTATTATTATAATGAGAAATAATATTTTTTGATCTGGGGATGCATCAAGAAAAGACTGTGTTAAAACAGTAAACAAGTTGATAGAATCAAGCAAAGATGAGTGCAACAAATAGATGTTTCTACGCCGTACAGACACTGTTGAAGTTCCAGTTATTTTCGGTACCTAATTTGTGTACAATTAATCATGTTGATTATCATTGAACACCTTCAGTGCTAGTAACATGCCCTGATGATGGCAACAATTTTGGGTTGAAACGTTGTCTACAAAGATCTTAAAAAACTGACTGCGTCTTGACTATCCATCACCCCCCCAAAAAAAAAAAAAAAAAAATCAGTAATTTTGATAATATTAAGGACATTGAAGAAAGTACTAAGTATTGTCTGTTTTTCATTACTGTAGGACTTCAATACTTATATTAAGGCCAGATTTGAAATAGAAGAATATCACCTAAAGAACTTATGAATGTAAGTTTAAAATCTAAAGTATTTGTGATTATTAGTTAATCTGGTATAACCAAGTTAATTAGAAAATATTAATAAATAAAAAATAAATGTTTAATTCATTAAAATGCATGAGGAAGGTAAATGATCCTGGGAAAATCATGAATGCTGAGCCTATCTTCCTGTTTAAACAGGGTCGTTATCTTTCATGATGGTCATCAAAGATAGAAACACAGATTTGTTTTAAAAATATTTTGTTATTTTTTAAAAATTATATTGTGCATAAATTATTTTCTAATAAATGTGTATATATTTATAAGTTTAAAATTTCCACTCTTAAATTATAAAAAATAAAATGTTATCTGTGATTGTTTGGTTGATTATGTTTGTGTTCCACTGATCTTTCTTGGCGTTTGCATCTAAAATCCATGATATAGTTTAGTAACAGAAAAAATAAAAATAAAACATTCCAAGTTTAATATTAGAAACATATAAAGGAATAAAGAACAATTTTAAGTATTATTTACCTGGTTGTAACCACAGGCAGATCTATGGAGGGGAGTCTTTTGGGCTGAAGCCTCCTCCTCCGTCCCCAAAATGGTAAAATGTAACCATTTTTTATGGAAAAAAACTATTTCTTAAAGTATTATTGTTCTTGTAATTAAATTTAATAGGACTACAAGAATCACTTAAGCACCATTTCATATAGGTAGTTGGTACCTTTTTTTATACCTTTTTTTATTTTCAAAGTAATTATCGTTATATACATGAAAATAAAATTTTCAGGCTGAAGTCCCCCCAAAATTAAATCCTGGTTCCGCTAGTGGTTATAACCATTATATATATATATATATATATATTAACTTTTATATATTACTCTCCCATTCTATTTCTTTTCCTCCCAGTCTTTCTGAGCTGGGTTTTCAATTACTGGCCAAGGTATAATTTCACTTAATGTTATTATAACATTAACTATAATAAATAATATTATTTTGTTTGTATTAGTAAATTTAGTAAATTAAATTTATTTTCATTTAGTAATACTGTTCACTATGGAACCTGTCTTTAATTATTTATATAAAGAGGATAAAAAAGTCTTGAATTGGATGAGGAGATACCTATAAATTTTTTTCACTTAGATTAAAGGCTCGGTATAGATTATAGGTTGCCTAGTGCCTGACATGCTATTATTATGCAATTGATATTAATAAACAATACATAAATTCTCAAATACTTAGGTTAGACAGGTGTGGATTAATTAGTGAAGTAAAAAAAAAATAATATACACTATATTATTTCAATGTAGCATCGATAAAACATATTTTTTAAATAAATTATATTATTGTTTCAGGTCAGATGCTTGTCAATTGGCTTTTATCTGCCTTCGGAAACGAACATTATTTGAAAACTGTCCTTCAAACTACTGATTGGAAAATTATTATAGTTCAGTTCTGTACACATCTACTCGCAGCCGGGGTTTTAAGACAGCTTCCTGATAAAGACGCTCCCCCTGAATCGTTATTCAGAGTAAGTTGTTTTCAATACTTGTAGCATTTAATTTTAAAAATCCGAGTGTGGAAATGACCCTTTCTTATATAACCCTGTTCGTCCTTAAGATGTATTTGTGTATCTTCTTAAACTCATTGGTAGGTTGCTAATGAAGTTGACGTTTATAAATATTTCAACTTGTTGTAGTTATCGGATGCATTTCACTACACTTTTATGACTTATGGCCTAGTGTGTTTTGTTTAGGGTGTGGATCGTACCCGACTTCTATATCAAGTTGAAATATTTATAATGATGTAGAGATGGCTGACCGTGATGTAATATGAGAAGTAATTGGTTGAGGGGTGCGGTCAAATAAATACTAAATTTTAAAAATTAATATTTTTAATTATTACGCGGACGTTTCGACCCACCTTGCAGGTGTTCATGAGGCCTACAAAAGATACGAAATATAAAAGGTACACGGTGAAAATAAAATAAATTAATTATAAGTTGATACTAAATAAGAAACAATTATCAGATCACAACAAATTATCAGACGACTGTTTCTTATTTAATATCTACTTATAATTCATTTATTTTATTTTCAAAGTGTATCTTTTATAGCCCTGGTGAAGACCTGCAAAGTAGGTCGAAACGTTGGCATAATAATTAAAAATACTAATTTTTATAATTTAGTATTTATTTGACCACAAACTCGTTCTCAAACTTCACTAATTAATGTGTTTAGATATGGACATACATTTCCCTATGATGTAAAAGGTTATTTTCTTGATAAGGTTTTTTTTTTTTTAAATTAATCATTTTACTATTTAAAAACTGTTATCACTTATGACGATTTTGATATTGATTTTCAGCCTGATTTAATGTATTACTGGGCTCACACTGAGGTCGTGAGTGCTGCACCTCCTACACCTGGGCGATTGTCAACGATATCTTGGCCTCCTCCTATGTCTCCGAATTCCGACACACTATCCGATTACAACGGAAAAACAATAATAGGTAGTGAACATTAATAATTTCATTATTAATAAAGATCTAAAAGTAAAAATTAATTTGTACCCATTTAGATATAATTTTACTTGAATTTAAACTTATTGCCATATTTTAGAACATTCTTAAGGAAGGTTAGATAATTAAAAGTTACTTTTTAATTGCAGAGATTTAGCTTCCCTTCGATTTTAATGTTTCTCATACACGGTTATCAATGTTTTAACATGGAATAATTATTGATTCATTGATAATTTAAATCAAATTCTGTCCTAGATATATCGCCCAATAGGAGTGACACCGATGCTGAAGTGACTGCACTCGCGAAGAAAGTCCATGAGCAAAATCAAATCATTAATGAACTCCAATCGTGTATAGATAAACTTCAGCAGGAAAAAGAAAGAACGAAAACTTTGGCAGATATTCAAGTATGTAAAACAATTTTGATATGTATTATTATTATAAACAAATGTGTATTTATTTATAAAAATATATCTTATTTGATTCTAAATAATAATAATATTAAAGCTTAGCGAACCCGAAGGTTCAATGCCGATACCAACAATCGATTTTCACATTCTTCCATTCACTGGACTCTGTCTAAACCCTGCTAAATCAGCCTTAATGCAATCTTCCCACCTTCACTTACCACCTCTGACACTTGCCAGTCGGTACCACGCATATTAACTTTTTAAGAATTCTTTCATTACTAAGCCCAGCGATTTTACATGCCCATTTTATTCGCCTCAACTTAATCATCTCAATTATATTAACCGTTTGCATATTAATCGCAATTCAGCGTTATGTAACCGCCTAAATTCTCTGGTTGACTCGTTTTGTTTTTCGGTCCAAATATTCTGTGCAATACTTTATTTTCAAAAACGTTAAGACACTGCTCATCTCTTAATGCGGATACGTTTCGCATCCATAAAGAACCGTAGTTTTGTAAATTCTAATTTTTAAGTTTCGGGACTGGAGGCGAGAAATAAGTAGTTACTTCTTATTTTTCTTTTTTTATTAGGAAGCCTACGTTCATAATTTTTTTCATATTTAAGGCAATAATATTTCCAATTTTCATTAAATTTTTTTAATTACATTTGTTGTCTCTTACGTTTCAGGACAATTTTCCCATCATCAGAGCAATCTTTATCTTCATTTTCTTTTTTTGAAGTGGCACCATTTGTCAATTAGTGTATCAATGAATAGGTAAAGATATGTAACACCAAAAAAATGTGACAAATATTTGATTTTTGACAATTGTGCCACATCAAAAAAAGAAAGTGAAGATAAAGATTGTTCTGATGATGGGAAAATTGTCCCGAAACGTTAGAGACCACAAAACTGTAATTAAAAAAATTTGATGAAAATTGGAAGTATTATTGCCTTAAATATGAAAAGAAATAAGTAGTTCTGACAAAGAAAAATAACAATAATTACCCGTCTTCAACCTAATCTTAATATCCTCATCAATTTTTTCTAGTTATCATAGACCCTAGATACCTAAAATTCTGTGCATGTTAAAACACATTCTCTTCTATACCGATGCCATCGAAATTGTCGCTATTTTTGCAGCTAACCATATATTTTGTCTTATTTGATTATAAAGGAGGGAGATTAATCTGTGGATTTAAATAATACTTGATTTATAACCATTAATAAAATAGAAACAATATTATATACTTTGTCGTACCAGAACAGAGATAGGATTAGTAAGGATTTTAAGTTGTCTGTAATGAGGGTATTAATTAGACTAATCCCAATCTTATATTGGATCAAGAACAACAAGATGGTTTTATCACTGAATAAAATGGTCAATAGGCAAATAACTGTCTATATCAATCACAGTCTCAGTAAGAAATGTGACTAATTACTAGGGAACCAAGTTTGGTCGGAAAACTGACGTTATGGCGTTCTTGAACTGTTGTAATGATTTTAAGAGTAATTTTTAATTTTAAGAGTAGCCTACAGTAACCTATAGGTCTAGAATGTGGAGCTACAAAGTTAGGCAGAATATTTTATGTCCATAAAAATTCCTGATTGGACATCGTCATTGTATTTCTACTGTTTTTATCTCACACCTCCAACCTTTTTACACTGAAGAGGGCCACAAAAATTGTAGTATTTTGCAACACACATGATACGAAAAACATTAAACAATATTATCTCCAAGCTTTTTTAAACCCAATATAATTTATTTTCAGCTTGTCCTTATAAATTCTTAGCGAAGTTGTTAATTATAACTTTCTTTGTAAATTGTCTACGTACTTTATTTGTGTCGTATTACATGTTGATGTTTTGGTAAGTATATATTCACATTAATAGAACCGTATAGTCTTGTCTCTTTTCTACAATGCAATGATCAATTACAAATATATTGTTACCATATTATAAAGGGACATGATGAACTGAACGATTAAATTCGATTGGTTAATATTTATTTCTCAGTGGCCCTGGAGTTTCTGGACTAGCTCCCCCTCTCTCCACCAGTACCAATAACACTCTATTATAAGTTACTAGTTGAATTAACCTTTTTTCGGTGTGCTCTCTTTGGCTGTTATATAAACATTATTTTTAACTTTTTAAATTAAATACAATCAGGAGAAATTTTTAATTGAACAGCATATAAAATAAATATATAAGTCACAAAGAAAATTATATATTTGCCAACTTCACTAGTATAACCTAAAACTTCTCAATTTAAAGAAGAAGTTTCTGCATAATCATAAATAAATAATAAATCATAAATAAATTCCTTCTCTCAAACTCGTGAGACGAGAGTTTTGTGGCTAATGTTTATTTTATTTTATGGAATTTCAGAACACTTGGTTAAATGGCTTTGAAGAAATATGGGAGCAAAGATTTGAAAACTGTTGGCCGAGGAAAACTTTGCTCGATTCTTCCTTCATGAGCCACGAGGCGGAAACTTCACCCTCAAATAATGGACTTAATATTTCTGTTGTAGGTGCATTAAGTGTAGCTAATGCACACTTCACTTTTATTATTCCCATCACGTCCTATTGTAGTCAAGCATTGGTCAGTTTTTTTTTCTTTTTTTAAGTATATTAGAGCTTTTTTCGTATTATGTATGTGTATATTTACATGTACATGTATATGTATATATGGACCTGCAAAAATGGCTTACGTGCATTGTGGCTGCCTCGTCAAATTCGTTTAGCTCTGACTTTTTTATGCTGCTTTGCTATAGTTGCTGCTTTATCGTTCGCCATTATTAGGATTGTCTAGCTGCACACCCGCATAGTTGTCTATTTCTCTTGTTGTAGTGTGGTATCGAAATGTAGGCCTTATATTTTGTTTTGTCTCACATTCACTTTTTTTTAGTTATTTTTATTAGTTGCTGCATAAAATAAGCACCAAATTAAACCAAGATCCCTTCTGTTAATGTTTTGTGCTCCTCCATTTTCATCTGGCTTAAGGAAAAGAATTTCTGCTGGAAATGATGAATGAGCTAGAGCAAGCTTGGTGTTAAAATCTGCAAATTATCTTGTTGTCATGGAGAGTCTTTTTTAAATGAAATTTTTTTTATGTACATGATTGTTATTCTTAATCCCAACTCTAGAAAATCATATAGCTAGTTGAAAAAAACAGTATTAGCTTCAAGTATTTATGAGAAGTAAATTTGTGAAATATGAAAAATTATATTAATATGTAATATGTAAAATTATTTATGAAAAGTAAATACTCAGTAGCTTAATATATGTGCTAGTGGACGGTGCTGAGACTGTCGATATGTCCCTGGCCTGATCGAAGCTCTATTTTTTAAAATTATAGCTTTGAAGAGGATCCCATCGTTGACTAATAAAAAGAAAATACCGGGATTGAAATGTCAATAAACATAGAAGAAATGAACATTCAATAGTTTATTAAATAATTAATAAGTGACCTTATTCCCAATTAAATAGTTAAGTTTAAATATATATATATATTTACAAGTTTTCCTTAATCGACCTTTGAGTATTAAATTTAAACTTCACTATTTAATTGGGAATAAGGTCACTTAATTATTATTTAATAAACTAATGAATGTTCATTTCTTCTGTTTATTGACGTTTCGATCCCGGTATTTTCTTTTTATTAGTCAACCATGGGATCCTCTTCAAAGCTAGAATTTTAAAAAATAGAGCTTCGATCAGGCCAGGGACACACCGACAGTCTCAGCACCGTCCACTAGCATATATATTAAGCTACTGGTAGTAAGAGAGCTACTTACTATTCTTAAGAGAGTAGTTCAATATATATGCTAGTGGACGGTGCTGAGACTGTCGGTGTGTCCCTGTCCTGATCGAAGCTCTATTTTTAAAAATTCTAGCTTTGGAGAGGATCCCATGGTTGACTAATAAAAAGAAAATGCCGGGATCGAAACGTCAATAAACAGAAGAAATGAACATTCATTAGTTTATTAAATAATAATTAAGTGACCTTATTCCCAATTAAATAGTGAAGTTTAAATATATATATATATATATATATATATATATATATATATATATATATATATATATATATATATATATATATATATACACATGTTAACTGAGCGAAAGAACTTTACATTTAAAGAAAATAACCTGATAGAGATAAGGATTATCTAAATAATACCCAAGGATGTAAACAAAAGTTCAACTTTTGTAACAGTATTTATAGCAGAACTAGCTATATATATTAATCAGAAGGCTGATTAAGGAGGCAAAATATCTGCAAGGTCTACAAAGCAAAAAAGAAAAAAAATTGTCAACTTCTTACTCATGCTAGTATAATTTATCAAATATTTAAATATATTATCATTCAGTCTATTTTTCTCTTTTATACTTACATTGATTTGAATAGTTTCATTCTAGGTAAAGTAAAAGTAGTTATAAAATAATGAATGTAGGTTTTCAAATGCGTAGTTACGTTTTATTTTGAAGGGAAACTCACTTGAAAATTTTATAATCTTACTAAATAAATTTTCTATAGTTTGGTTAATCTGCAGATTCAATTAGAATCATGTCAAAATCAAAGTTCTCTCTGTCTTTAAAGCTAAATGATTGGGCTGCATTATTTAAAGGAGTGATAAAAAGATTTCTTCTTAGGAAGAGGAAAGTTGGTTGTGCATGTCATAGTAGGTAAATTAACTAAATTCCTGTGATTTTTCATACCTTGTCAGATTTTGTGAAATGCCCTTTTAACATCTTTAGATGTAGAAAGGTTTTATTTTATAATTGAATATCCATTAACTAACAAACGTTTCATTTTCATATGGAGATATTTTGAAAATAACTTTTAAAATATTACAGAAATCATAACTATGAAAAATGGATATAATTAAAAATTCTTTTACTGTGAAATTTAAAATCTGTTCGTTATTTTCTGTATTTATGCTTTAATACTCAAACTTTTTTTCTCTGTTTGGTTGTGTTGCATATTTCCATTTTAATTTTATTGTATATTTTTGTTCTTTTTAAAGCATAGTTTATGGCATATTTCGGTGTTTTTTGGTGTATATAAATCCAGGCTTTAGTTATAGTAAATAAATGATTTATTAATTATGTAAAACCATTTTTATATTTACCTACAATATCTAACCTTTATTGATTAACTAAAAGATATCTAATAATTTTCATATTTCTACTTTATGTACTTGTTTTATAGTCCAATCCAGTATAAATGAAGTCTATAAATAAAACTTAACAGAACACAGTCGATCTTTCCCATATAATAAAATAATTCTTAGTGAAAAAGATAATACTTTCACATTATTTGATATTTATGAAGTATGTAAAATAATTTCAAATATGCACCCTATTTTTTTTTAAATGTGTGTTTTGTTAAAAAGGCGAGTTGAACGATTCTTTACTTTTTTTATTTATAGAACATATTTTACTAGACATTTTCGAAACTTCCATTGTTTTCGCAATTGTTAGATTTGAGGATCTGCAAAGGGTATGCACAAATTTAAAAGTTACTGATTTATTGTTTTTATACGTCAATAGTTATTGTTTTTATGAGTCTAAGAAAGGAAAAATCTTGAAATAGCCATTTTATAGAACACCAAAGATTTGTAATTAAAATTAGCAATTATTTGAAAATAAATATTAATTATGCTTTATTCTTTTGCAGTCATTGACCAACAAAGTAAAAGCTGATTTTGATTCACCTTTAAAAGCAAATAAAAATGAAGAAACTGTCGCCATAAGAACTAAAGATGAACTATTGTCACCTATCAGGGAAGTTATCAATTTTAAACCTTCAACCTTCGACAAATCTGTTCAGTGTTCACTTGAAAAAACAATAGAGTCATCTAAGTCGACACAGACGCTAAATAAAGATTTTCCCATTAAACAAGCATCGAAGTTGGATGAAACAGCTCTGAAGATTGATAACGATGCCAAAGAAAATGCTAGAAAAGAAATAAAAACATCTTCAAGAAAGTTAATCACTCAGAGCCAGCTAGATGACAAGTCAGCGGTGTCCCTCTCTTTTGCCATAAACCAAACGTCCGAAGTAAACGGTATTCATATAAGTTCGTCCGATTCCAGAAAATCTAGTGACCATCCTAAACCATTGGAAACTAGTGCAGTCATTTCAAAAGAATGTCCCAGGCCAGATCAGATTCCTACTACTGCAGTTTCTCCTCCGATACCTATGTCAAAGGAACCTCCACCACCACCGCCTCCTCCTCTTCCACCACCTCTGCCTCCACCCATGTCAATGGTTGATGTCACACCTCAGATGGTATGTAATGTTCCTCCCCCTCCACCTCCGCCTTCGATGATGGATTTTAAACCTCCTCCTCCGCCTCCTCCTCCGATGATGGTTGGTGGTCCTCCTCCTCCACTCCCACCTCCAATGATGGGTGTTGGACCTCCCCCACCTCCTCTACCTCCGATGATGGGTAGCGGACCTCCCCCACCTCCTCCACCTCCAATGATGGGTAGCGGACCTCCCCCACCTCCTCCACCTCCAATGATGGGTGGCGGCGGGCCCCCACCACCGCCCCCTCCGATGATGGGTGGCGGACCACCCCCTCCACCACCGATGATGGGTGGTGGAGCACCACCTCCTCCGCCTTTGATGATGGGGAATGGACCTCCTCCTCCTCCACCTTTGACAGGAGGACCAACAGCTGCAACTGGGACTTCAGCAGGACATCCTGCTTCTCCAGCACCACTCCCAGCTCCTCCTGTTGGAGGCTGGAACGCTCAAAAGTCTCGTAAGTTTTAATTCAAAAACACTTTTATTTTTTATACCTGTACTATTTAAAGCCTTATTTTTTTAGTTTATTCCTTTTTATTTAATTATTAACTCTTGTACAATTTTTTAATTTACGAAAATCGTCAAAATGGGACATTTTTAACGTGGAGATTGGTAAACTTCGTCAATTTAATGAGTTAAACTCATGAACACCTATTTGCTTTCCACTTGAATAGTAAGATAATTTGATCACAAAGTTGAGAAAAAAAGATGTTTTATTCGACTGTTTTGGCATAACCTCTACCCCTACATGTCAAAATAAGGTGGTTATATATATAAACCTAACAGACTAATATTTTTGTAGATCACCTTTTCTATCAGTTTTGTGATCAAATTATCTTGCGATACAAGCGATACATAAATTGGAAAGTAAATTTATATACATGAGTTTTTAGTAATTCATTGAATTAACTAATTAATCAGAAAACATCCTATATATAAGCATTTTTGTGAATAAAAAAGTTGTTGGTTACGATAAAATGAAGCCACTTCTGTAATCTTACATGAGTGCTAAAAATTTAATAAAAAAGGGAGAGGATTATTTGGGTAATTTTAGTTAGCGGAAAATTATTTAAGTTGCAGCTTCACCAGTTTTAATTAACAATTTCAAATTAAACTTATCTTTGCAGATTTAAAAAAAAATATCATTATTTCGAAATGTACACCGATTGAAAATTTTTATTAAAGCCAAAGTGAACAAAAATATTAATAAAATGTTATTTAGTATAACAAAAACCTATATTTATTTATTATTAATATTTCGATTAATTTTAAAAAATCAATGCATGATTAATTTTATTAAATTTATTTTCATTTTTTCTAGTGTTTCGAAAGGAGCCTAAGGTCCCACCCGTACCGATGAAGCCACTCTATTGGACGAGGGTCGTCCTACCGATGAGTGTAGAAGAAAAGGAAAAAAAGTGAGAGAGATTAAGAAGTATAAATGAGTTGAAGTTATTGGTTTAGAATTCGTAAAGTTCAAAATTTTCATCAGTTTTTATCAAATAATTTTAGATTTTACTATGATTTTTTAAAAATTAATTTAGTCCTGTTTGCGACCAACTGGTGACAAAGGTTACAAGTTACAAATTTTATGAACAGTTTAAATTTAAAACACCGTGATTAATTTCCTGTAACGTTTAAGTTTGTAGTGAAAAGAATTTTCTATTTTTTATATTAATAATCTTTTAGTTTGAATAATTTTGGTGTAATGATCAAGTAACTAATCCACTTCCACAAATTTATTCAATTTTTTTTTCTGCTGGTTTGTCAAGAAAACTGATTGAGCTAAGCGGGGTCCTATTATTAATATTTTGCTGTATATTAATGAAAAACTAATTTAAAATATTATATTCATAAATCAATTTTTAAAAAAATATTTGGAAGAACTAAACATATGCCATTTTAAGACTTTGACAGACTAAAATAACAAATTGAAACTATTTTGCTGCTAGTTTTTAAACATGTAGTCTATTTAAGGAATGTATGTTATTGAATTAACCAGCATTTATAAAAAAATAAATTTTTATCTTGTATTTAGATGATATGAAAGAACAAATTACTTTAAAATTTGTCTGCAATCTTATTATATTTCAAGTGTGAATATAATTATTTTTTATTTTTGTTTAGCGAGGCATTATGGGGAAAATTGGAAGAACCGAAACTAGACGATATAGACGAATTTACCAAGCTGTTCTCTCGTCAAGTTATCGATAGAAGGAATACAAAGAAAAAAGTTGCTAAACCAGCAAAAGCTGAGGTATAATAATTATTTCAGTTTTAATTATTATTATTGTTTATTATCGTCAAATTTTCTCTGGGAAATTATAGATGCCCCCTGTTAAGTTTCTAATGCTTTATTAAATACTGATCTTGACTCCTTTTTATAACATATATTGCCACAGACCCTTTTAATAATTTTCATGAAAGACTGACTAAGTTCAAATTCAAGCTCTAGTTACTACCAGAAATTCATATGATTTGCCCAGAAGACTGCTGAGGCACTGGCCAAGAGACTTACTGCATTTAGTTACTTGTTATGTTATGCTTTTGGGTCATAATTTATTTTATTTTTGTGATTTACTTTTTTCTTTTTCTTAACGAGTTTTGAAATTCATCTTCTTTCTTGCTTAGTTTTTTGGCTTTGTACTGACCTCCTTGATATTATATGATTTGCTCAATACAGTAGTAGATAGAAAATTTATCCTACCAGAAATATAAATATCTTATAAATAATGGAAATGGACATTTATTCTTTTCTTTGTATTTTTTAGTAGATAGATTAGTAGACTCTAATCTAATTTATTAAATATTTCATGTATTATCACATGTCTATTTATTCCTTTGTATTTATTTTTTAGTATATAACATACTATTTTTCATATCATTTGTTTCTTTTCATTTTTTATAAGTTTTCTTCATGTTTCTTATTACCTTAATGTCGTTATCTTGACTTTGCTTAGCCCTGATGAAGGTATATGGCTTAATATTTAGGCTGAAATGTCAGTACATAGGAAATTTATCATTGTTTGTAACTCCCATCCAACCTCTCTTACTATAAAAACTCACGTTAACCATTTCTTTACCATTATTAAAATATTAAATTTAATGTTAAAAAATTAGAATTCTTTTAATTAAGCAAATATTGTTATTAAAAAAATAAGTGTTATAAAACAATTAAATTTTAGTACAATATTTATCTAAAAACAATTGGTTTTTAATAATAGTTTATTTATTATTAATAAATTCAATTAAAATATTTCAGGTAATCAAAATCCTCGATAGTAAAAGATCTCAAAATGTTGGCATCCTATCATCCAGTTTGCACTTGGACTTTACTGAAATTGAACATGGTAAGTGAAGTTCTATGTATAATTATTGTAGAGAGTGTAATTAATTGTATTACTCCATGTACGTGACGTTAAATATTATTTTTTACAGCAATTTATCATTTTGATACTACAGTTGTGAGTTTAGAATCCCTTCAACAAATATACGATGTGGTAAGTTTGCATTTGTAACGTAGTTATTATGACATTAAAAAAAAATTAAATGAAAGTTTTTTAGTTTAGCATTCATATAGGTAGGATATTAAAATTATTCCTGTTGAGTATGATTTTTATTAAACAGAAAACTAAATGTTCTCGAACTGTTTTTTATTCGCTTGAATTATTTTCTTTTGTATTCGAGAAAAAATATTTTACTTTCAATTTTTTGTCATTAATGGCAGTTTATTGATTAAAATGAAGGCTATTTAGAATTCCATAAACTTTCGGAATTCTTTATCTCTCTTAATGGAATGTTGAAAGATATATTTACTTAGTAATAAAAACAGATGTATATTAAATTGAAAGACTTCGACAGCCACACTGCAAAAGCCTGTTGAGTACAAACACCTGGTGACACGTTTAAGGAAATTTCTTTGAACTTTTAGATGTAAAAATTTAAGTATTGTCATTATTGTATTTTTCTTAGATTCATTTTATAAAACTACTCATTACCATACCAAGCGACATAAAAAAAACAAGAAACATTCTCCTCTGTTTCTTAAAACTGTAAATTTAGAGAAACATTTTGTTGTACCCGTAGCTGAATTGTCAGTCAATTGACAAAGTGTCAATCAGTGGATTGATTTGGAATGTTCCTATAGCTGACAGGGATGAGAACAAGGATGTAATTATGCGAAATAAGGTGTTAACGCCGCATATACTTTATCTTTCCTTTTTTTCATTATTATTTTTTCTCACCACTCACTCTTTTGAATGTTAATTTATAAATGTTTATTTATTTTTTATTTGTAAAAGATTGAGGGGTAATTGTTCCAGAAATTTAATTTAATGCATATTATTTAAATATTAGGTATTATTCGTGATGTTTATCACATTTTTATACGTTCCTGCTACGTCTTGGGTTCCAGGGCCAACGGTTGTGCAGAGTTCACGCTCAACCACCAGGTTTTCTCCCTTAATCAATTATTTAATTAAGGGTACCCACTTTGTAGAGGCTGGATGTGCCCCAGGAGGGTCTCGCTACCCCAGAGTCGCGAAACAGAATAAATAATTTTTCTTATCGAGGGGAATCGAACCTGGGACCTTGATCATTGGAAGCTGCTCAGTGTCCTACCACTGAGCTATCCTGCTCCCTAAAATACAAGAACTTGTATTTTGCAATAGAAATAAAATAGTTTTACCACTATTTAGCCTATTTATGACCGCCACTCCTGACCATCTCCTTCCTCTATTTTTGTTTTGTATTTGATATTTATCGTTAGTAATTTTTCTTTAAACGAGAGAATAGTTGATGGTCTATTTTTAAGAATCGTTTTATTGAGTATATCTCTTTGAATTTCTGTGAATACAGACTCGTCAATAACTGGCAAAAAGTCCAAAATAAGGTTCCGATAGCTAACGCTCACATTACATTTTGTAATTCCTCCAACAACATAGGTTGAAACAGACAAAATATAATCTAAAAAATAACTCCAAGTTTCATATTTATATTCATATTCACACTCCAAGAAAAAATAAAACAAAAATTTTGAGATAAATCTAAATAGTTAAAGAGGAAAGGACAAACCTGAGGTATGATGTCCATATTGAAAGATCGTTGTTCCTGAGACGTTAAGTGGACTTAGAAAGACCTTCCTGATTTGCCATTATTTTGGTAGCGGTTCCCTGTAAGATTAAACCAAAGGAGAGAAATATACGAAGAGTGAATATAGAAGGCAGATATTCATGAAATAGAGGTCTAGGAGGTTCTGAAATTTTATTATTCCCGTTTTTCAATGTGGCTGTTAGGTATTGGTCCACTATCAGCTACTGCTGCTTTTACCCAAGTGCAAAACATAATTATTTATAAGACAAAATAAACTGTGTATTTATTATTTTATAAAGTAGATTTTACATTAAATTTGTATTGCATGCTTAAAGCAAAGATGAAATGTTTTAAATGACGTTTTTGTTAAATAGTGTTTTTGATTTGTTTTTAAGAATATATCCGAGTCCGAGATTAATCGGGAAAGAACATCTAAATCTAATTAAATTCTACTAACTGGCTTTTTCACTGTGACTGTCGATTTTCTGTTATATTTAAAGGGAATTTATAGCTTGTACCAATATATACCAAAATGGGCAAATTGTTTATTTCAATTAGAGTTAATGATATTTCTTAAAAAAATATATATATTTTTCACCGTTAGATGAATTTTATGGAGGTAAGTTTATTTTAAAATGAAAACAATTGTTAAAAACTATCGAGTGATTTTTTTTTTCAGCTTCATCCCAAAAATGTCTTAAAAATGTAATTGAAAATTATTTTTAATGATATTCTTTGAACAGTTTTGAAAAATTAAAACAATCTTTATGATCAAAAATGGATTTAATATATATCGAGAGAAATACAAAATTATGAATCAACATTTTTTAATTTTAGAAATACAGTTTTTATATTGATAGATATTAGTAAAACTTAAAAAAAAAAAAAGAAGAGTATTTCGTCTAGTAATAAATTATTTATGGTTTGATTAGAAGTGTTAAATGTTAGTTTAAGTCCAATCGATGAATGCATTGAAGTAAGGGTTAAGGTATAAATTACCTGATAGCCAAAAGTGGTTTCAGAACTTTGTTCGGAATAGTTTGCAGCTAAAATACTAAAAGTTCTGAAGTTTTAGATCAAGGATGCAAAAACAAAACAAAACATGACATTGTACCCATACACCCTCTTCTTTTTGCCTCTGCTACAAATTTCCAGGACTTTTAGTGTTTCCTCTCAACTAGTCCAAACTAACCCCTGAAATCAATTCTAACCATCCTGCCATTTACATCTTAAACAAACTCATTGACTTGCTTATATCAATTTGGTTATTTTCAATTTATTTTTGTTTTCTTATAGAGGGCCACAGAACAAGAACTGGAGGCGATAAAATGTGCACAGGTGGCTCAGCCAGATCTCGCTCTAGATAAACCCGAACAGTTTCTTTTAGAATTGGCTGAGATTCCGCATTTCGCAGAAAGGATTGCATGTTTTATGTTCCAGGCAGAATTCACAGATAACATATCTGGGATCGAAAGTAAATTAAATAATCTGAAATCTGTATGCCAAGTATGTAATGTATTTTGCACACTGTAACCGAATATGTTAAGATAATATTTGGAGTATAGTCTTTATTTCTACCTTCCAGATGCTGATGAGTTCTCAGTCTCTTAAATCTGTTCTTGCAATAATCCTGGCCCTTGGGAATTGGATGAATGGAGGAAATCGGCAGAGGGGACAAGCTGATGGTTTCGGGTTGGAAATTCTTTCAAAATTGAAAGATGTTAAAAGCACAGGTGCGTTTTTGGTTTATCTTTTATTTATTTAAGTATGAGGAATTTTCATTTTTGTGAGAGAGTGGGCAGCTTAGTTGTAGGGATTCAAACTTTCAATACTTAAGATCCCAGATTCGAATCAGGCTGATTGCAGATAAATTATTTATTCTGTTTTGTCGGCCATGGATCGACACTATGGTCAGGAGGCTCTTTTGTTTCACACCCAATCTCTATTAAGTGGATATCCTTAATTGTATAATTAATCAAGGAGGAAAATCTGATCTTGGTCAAATCACCTTCTTGCTCAACTGTTATCCAAGTAACAGTACTTCACAAAGTATCGAACTGAAGACCCTTCATAGGTCGTAATGGTACAGGTTTTTTTTTATGAAGAAATTTAATATTATTTTACCACTTGATAAAATTTGTATAGTAGCGATGTTACTATATGGGGTGTCCTATTCAGGAACCTTAACCCTGGAACAACACACTAGGATGTGACACACTCCACAATATTAATTTACTTTTATATAAGTAGCTCTTTGGCCACGTTTTTTCTTGTAAATAAACATAGCCTGGTTGATTAAAGTCATTAGCACTCCATTGTTGGGCTTATATCATTATTGGAAGTTATCTAAAGCCTTTATGGTTTATCATCACCACACCCCAGTATGTTGTTTACGTGACTCTCCTGGGTGCCTCACACCCCAGTGTGCTGTCTATGCAACTGTTCTGTGGATTTCGTATCCCAGTGTTTACTTTGCTATTTTGAAACTTAAGTAATTCGGGTGTAGATTACTAATGTTATATTTGTTAATTAGTGATATTTTCAATTCAGACAGTATTTTTTTACTATGGCAACTACCAAAAAAATTTATTGTTCTGAAGAAATCCATAAATTGTTATGGGAGTTAGAAGATGAAAAGATGAATGGAACATATTAAATAAAGATGGCCTAATAATTTTTGATCAAATGTGTCATGTGTGTTATCAGCAAGAAAAAAAATCTGGAGTGTCCACTCACACGACTTTCCTACCTATTTCAGAAAAGTTTTTGTATCTTTACATATGCCCATTAAGAAAAAAAAAAAAAAAAAGGAAAAAAAAAGAATTACATTAATTTTCCTGAAAATTGATCAAAGAAAAGATTTGAATCAGATTTATTAGAAAAACTAATAACAACACAAACAATACAATGAAGTTATATTTCTTTTATTTATATTTCAGCCTCTCCTCTTATTTATTAATGTTAAGTTTATTCTACATATATGTTATTAGACTATACCTTTTACATACATATTATTACTTCTACCATATACTAGTTCCTCATATCCGCATTATCTTGTCTTCCCTTAGCTCCGATGAGGGCCTGAACTTGGGGCCGAAACATCGGCAAAAATAAAAATAAATATAATTTATTTATTTTTAATTTGTTACTTGTATGACTGAACACCCCAACCAACTTCTCTTCAATCTATCTACGACAGTCAATTATTAATCCACTATTAGTAGAAATAAACAAATAAGAAGCATGCAGAAAACAACATGCTAAGAATGACTGAGGTGAATTATAAAAAATAATTGGAATGCAAAAGATAACATTGTATGGTAAGATTTAGTAACAAAAAGAATATGAAAAAGAATGTGCCGCAACAGATGGAATCGTAAGCTTACTATATCAAAATATTAATATATTTGAATTGTTATTTGTTCTTCACCTTGATATCAGAAAATTTGATTGTTCTTGAAATTTTTCTAGTTGTTTTAAGAAGAAATAATAGGGTCAATTACTAAAGGCCGTCCATCTCTTTAAATGTTTTGATATGTATGTTTATATTAAATATATATGAAAATTAAATATCAATTTTGGTTAAATACTGAGCATTATTTTATCTTTATCTTTTATAGATAATTCGACTACACTTCTGCATTACATCGTCAGGTCTTACATTAAGCAGTGTGATGATGGCCCAATAACGGAAGTGGCTTTACCAGTCCCGGAACCGAGCGACATTGAAAAAGCGAGTGTAGTACAGTTTGACGATATTGAGCTACAGATAAAAAAACTCAGTAAAGATCTTGATGGTGAGTTTTATTTAATATGTTTATGTAATAGATTGTCTACTATCTACTGCATATTATTTCTGAACATACGTACCTTTTTCACCTCTCAAGAGCTACAGATTTTAATGAATAAGGTATCATTATAAAGGGAATTTCATGTAGAATAGGTGAATTTCATATTTTTATTAAGACTTAAATAAAAATTATTAATAAATTAGGTTTCGTTACTCAAAATGGTTCTAAGTCAGTGGATCAGAATGGGAAAAATATGGTACGCACACCACACAACTTTCACTTACCTCTCTATTTAGAATAGAAATTATCTTCTGGTAATGTCGGACTGTTATGATATTTTTGAAGTGCATTCTTAACAGAGATACAGCCTAAAGCTTATAGCTAACAAATCATTAACTATAACAAAAACCTTATTAATTACTTCAATGGTAAGCAATAAAAATCTTTTTACTCCATCTGTTTTTGTTAACTGCCTAACTCCTTCAGTCTCTGAGCTATATATATTGCCTAGAGAGATTTGAAAGTATATCTGTATATTCAACCTATAAATGGTATTTGGATTGTTTGCCTATTAGTTATTAAACTGTTATTTTCCATAGTAAAGTTAACTAAAATGAAATTACGAAGTTTTCGTTGCCTGCCGTAGGCAGGTCAAAATTTGTCACACTAATTGTAAGTGGATAATGTTGGGATTTCACAAGGAGAAAATTCATCAAATTATTCCCTAATTTATTTAATGTTACATAATGGTTGTTCGGAGTAAACGGACGTTAATGCCTCATTATTTAAACGAGATTTTCATTGCCTGCCATAGATAGGTTAAAAGTAAAAAAAAAAAACGCAATAATTGTAAATTGATAATGTTAGGATTTAACATAGAGAAATTTCATCAAGTTATTTACTAATTTAATTTTCTAAAAGATTATATGATGATTTTTTGTAATAAACGGATGTTGGTAGCTAATTATTTAAATATAATATCAGATCTAGAATTATTGAAATACAGTAAATGTATTTAAGGTTATAAACTTATCCTTTATACATCGATGAAATATTTTTATATTGTACTTCTTCTTTCGCAGATTTTCAATGAAATAGATTTTTAAACAATGTTACTATCTTGATTAGGTAGATTTTAAATACTTTTTCAAATTTAAAAAAATGTTTAGAAGTTTACATTTAGTTAGTAAATTTTATTTAATTTTCTTGAAAACATGTGATATTTTTGTTAAATAATATTATAATATATAGTTTTCCGAAATTATTATTTATAATTTTTAGACATTCCAATACTTTCTCTGACTTTCTATATTGGATTTTTTTTTTTTCTGAAATAATCCGCTTTCCAATGACATATTATACGTATACCTTCTGACTATTTCCGGAGATTCATTTTCGAACTTATAAGCATACTAGATAAGCATTTTTCTTAACTTTTAATAATGAGAGATAGTTAATTATATAAAATGAACCAAATTAAAGGTGCTTTAGAGGAAGAAGTGTTGAACATTGGACATTTAAGCCCTATAAAATAACATCAACGGGGATAAAACCAAAATGATATTGAAGACGACTTAATTATACAATGATACACTGACTTTAATCAAAATCGTTGAAGTTGTTTATAATATTGTAAAAATGTGTAACACCTTTGATATGAAGTACCACTTCCTGTTTGCCAATTTTGACAAAAAAGTTGCTGTAACATAACGTTCATATACAAACCTTAAATATGTATTATTAGTTTCGTAAGAGTTTTCGTTTTTGAGCTTGAGTGTTCACATGCACACAGACCATTTTGCGAGACTAGGTTTTTTGGACTCAGAGGACCTCAAATTGGGTATTTCTGTTGAAAACTCAAATACAAAAATTTTCACGATTGCAATACTTTATTTTACTATATATATAAGCGAAAGTAAAAAATGGATTTTAAAGATTTTGATGCAGGTGCTTTTCTGTTGTTTTTTATTAAATTATGGAAAAGAAAATCCTCTGCCCATTTCTTTACCTTGTTTTAGATAAACATAGTACGAAGAATAAGAAAAAGAAATATATGAGCTAAGTTTTATTTTATTATAATAAATTATTATTACCAGTAACAGAACTGGCCATGTGAATTGTTCTTATTGACCAACTTGCAATTCTAATTATTATTAAACTATTGAAAATGCAATCCAGAGTTATATTAATGTCATATTTTTTTTTCTCTTGGGATTACAGACCTTTTAGATTGTTTACCGCCTTAAATAATCTTTTCTATTGCTTCTTTGTTTATTATATCTATCCAACTGCTTTAGGCTAGTATTTTTTCACAGAGAACACATGATAGTCTAATTTAACTAATATTTTTATGTTTTATCACGTAATCTATTATCCTCATTTTTTTCTGTTCTCCTCTTCCTCACATTTTAGTCTATACAGGGTTTTTCAAGGCCAAGGAATGAGAGTGGGGGGTTAATGCCAGTGTTAAAAAATCTCGCTGGCACTGGGACGTGAACTCGTAATTATTTTATTATCTATAATTCGGTTATGAGGCTGCTGGGAAACGTGCGGTGCTGTGCACACGCATTAGCCCACTCGACCACCTCATCCATATTACATCTATACTGATTCGATCTATCCTTCTGCTTTTTGGTCTTCCACATGGTCTTTTGCTTGCTATTGAAGGATTCATTGTGTAGAGGCTTCCAGATGGATCGCTCCAAGCTACATAACATGTCCATCTTAACCTCCTTACCTTCACATAATGAGACATTGATTGAACAGTTTCTGTCAGCATTTATTTATTGTTATTTCTCCTCCATGTGTTAGTACTCTGATCCTAGATCGCTCCGGTTATCGTGTAGAGTATTTTTCTCTCAAATCTTTTAATGCTTCTTTCTAAAGTGCTGGTTAGTGTCCACGTCTCGCATTCATATATCAGAAATTACTTTATTATTGCTTTGTGCATTCTTAATTCGCTATTTATATATATTTTTTATTTATATAGGTTGTAAGTTAAACATGGATAAAGTAACATCTGCCTCTGAAGAGAATATCGAACCATTTAAAGAAAAAATGGAAGCTTTTATGTTATCAGGTAAATTATTTTTCAACATATACGTATTATAAAAATTTTAATGTGTAAAGTTAAGAGGTAATAATGAAACATATTTTAAGTTATTTCTGTATTCTTTATAAGGATGTTAAAAGATTTATTTCAATTAAGAAAGTAGAAAATAGTGGAGCTGTAAAAGTCAATCGTTCCTTTCAAAGCTGATATGTTGATTCCTAAATTGGACATTACCATATGCAGGTTGTCTACCTGTCAATGATTTTGGGAAATAAAGAGATACTGGGATTAAGAAAAAAATTAATTTTGTTTAAGAATTTTTTTTCTTATTTTTTGAGACAATATTAGAAGTACACATGTACCCAGGACTTAGTCATAGCTGTAATTTTTTATTTATTTTTCCATATTTTGGTTTTATTGTTTATAAATTATATTTCTCATGTCTTGATTTTGGTTTATTATTTTGTAGCTTTTGTTATAGACTAAAAAAAAATTTGAGTCTTATGTTTCAAGATACCTAGAAACCTAAATTTGTAAAATAAATATTCCATGAGCAGCTTTTCTCAGAAAATATTCGAACAACTATTTTTGGAAATTTGAGCACCAAAGTCACAGATCACTCCAGAAAAAACCTAGAACCCGACATCCGCAACTTTTCTTTCTAAATTATTGCTAACAAATAACTCTTAGTTAAAAATTCAGACTTATTCATTATTGAAGATTTGGCACAAGTTATACCAGGATAACCCTCAGAACTTGGCATTTCAAGTATAAGGAAATTCTTTTAATAAAAGGATAATAAACGAAAAAATTTCTATTGGTATTTTACTGACTTACTTAATCCGTTCTCGTCTACCGCTAAGCAGTGTAAGGCTTCCGTTTATAGAGCCTGATCCATAAGTCTCTATCTTGTACCAATTGTTTTCTGTGTGTCCAATATATACCTCTTTGGTCAAAGGCTTTCCTTATTTCGCTCTCTCAGGTCTTTCTAGGCTGTCCCCTTAAGGTCCAAGACTTGTTTGAGTATGTCAGGGTTGGTAGACAAGCGTTTTTGAAAACTATTATTTTTGTGGTTTTTGGAACTTCTTTCTTTACTTAAAACCCTTTCCTAATCACATTAAAGCACCTCTCCGCTGCCTTAATCCCAACCAGCCATTCTTGTTCAAGTGGGCTTCTATGTATTTGAAATTGATAGTTTAATTTATAAAATATTAATTTTCTGGAACGTTTAATTATTGATATTAAATAATAATAATGATTATATTATTTAAGTATCTATATTAATCAAGTGAAAACTTTTTCAGCTAAAAAGTTATTGACTGAGGAAGAGGAAAACTTGGAGGACTGTAAGCAAAAGTAAGTAAAATCTATCTCTATGAATATATGTATTTATGTATAAATGGATATATGTTAGTAATAAAAGTTATAGGTTTTGTATTTTTTTGTATTTGTTAATGGAATACTGCAAGTTATTAAGGTGAAAAAACACTAACTGTTTATTAAGCCCAGCAGATTGTTGAAATTCATAATAGATAGATATATACATTTCGGGATAAAAGTATTTTTAAAAAACATTTTTCTGTAATTCAGACTACTTTTAAATATTATAAAATGGTGTATAATTAAAAATAAAGTTTTTCTGGTAATTTTTGCTAATTCATTCAATTATTTTATCTTAGTATTGTTCATTATCCTCCAACTTTTCATCTTGATTAATCTATTTTCTAAGTGGCCCTATAATTAAAAATCATTTGAGAAATTTGCTCAAATTTATTTATTACATTTATATTATATTAATATCTAATTAGAAAGTAAATGAAACAAAAAAAAAAAGAGGTTAAATTCTTAAACAATTACAAGAAAAAAATATGGATTTTAATAATTTTCGTTTTTAAAAAATAATTTTCCTGATGTGGATTTATTTGCATCTGATATAATGCTCTTCAACCGGATTCATCAATTTTTTTTTTGTAACGGTTTTTGATAATTATAATAATAAATAAATATATGGATGGGTAACCCAACTCTGTGATTTATTTTAGATATATCGCTGTCTTGAAATTTTACCGTTTTCAACCGAAAAGCAGCATGAAGCTAGAAGAAGTATCTCCTCAGGACTTCTTTCCTCTCTGGGGTCCATTTTGTTCTGACTTCAAAGATCTTTGGAAAAAAGAGCAGCAGAGGATAATTAAAGAAAAGTATGCACAATTAATTTACCTTTTATTGAAAAATGTAATGTAATTTTTCTAGTGTTGTATCTCATATTGGCATTTATAAATATATGAGTCAGTTTATTTCAAAAGTGAACCCTAATATATTTTAATGGAATTAGAGAAAAGTATCATTTCCGATGTAAAAACGTGGGCTGTGACATCTCAAGCACCTGCAAACCTTAAATACACAATATCAATTCTGTACTGCTTTTCGTTTTTGAGGTTGACTGTTCACATACACACACACAAACACAGATAGGCGCACACATAGAGACCATTTTTCAGGACTTAATCATTCGGACTCAAGGTAACTCAAAACATATATTTCCTTTAAAAACTCGGATTAGAAAATTTTCATGATCACAATACTTTCCCTCAGTATATATTATATATACAGGTAAGTGAACATTATCATAATTTATAGTTAATTTTTTATAGTACTAATGTTATAACTGTCTCCTCTGAATCGAGCTTCCGAAGTTTCCAAAAGGGACCCTGTTTAAGTTCCACTGTTTTTTTATTAATATTGAAATAATTAGAGATTTTCAGAACTATGTGCTACCAATAAAGATTTCTTAATTTATTATTTTAAAAGCTTGGTTTTGGTATTACATTTAGAGTGGGCAATATAGTTTTTTGTATTTGCAGAAAAATTATCATTGATGATTAGTATTCACTTTAGAAATAAAGACTTGTATGAAATATACATCCATATTTTTTGATGAATTCTAAATTGCAGATACAATTCTTAGATTTTGAAATAGTTTGAATGTTTGAGTTTTAAAATTTTACTTTTTAAAAACAAAGCAATTATTAGCATATTTTATCTTTAATTTCTCTCCCACAACTACATTGCACTATAATCTTTTAAAATCTAATATTACTCCGGATTTATGAATTATAGAAGAAGCGTATCATGAATTTTAAAACAGTTATTTTTGAATTGTATTTTTATCACAAATTTCTGTTATAACTTAATTTTAGATTAATGGAGACCAAACGAAAGGCTGAAGAAAGAAAACTACAAATAAAAAAAGGGAAAAAAGGAGAAGGTGGTCTTGTAAGTATTGCTTTTATGTATTTATATTTTTAAAATACCACTAGATTTATTTAATAAATCTTTAATATTTAGTCTGTGTTACATACCTCTTTTTATCGAATTATTAACATCTGTCTGAAACTTCGTAAATAGTTTCATCTCATCATAACCTACAACTATTTTATTTACAAAAATTCTTGGAATTGGGTGGGGCATTTTCAATCTGGAGGGAGGCAAACTTTATTTATTTAATTAGGTGCTAACAACTAGTAAATATACATTTGCTTTCTACTTGGATCGTAAGGTAATTTGATCACAAAATATATAAAAAAGATGGCCTACAAAAATATTGGGCCGTTTGTCCTATATAACGTCGTTATTTTGAAAATTTGGGGGTGTAGGTTGCGTCAAACAGCTCATTATTTTTGAAGGCCACCTTTTTTCTCAATTTTGTGATCAACTTATCTTACGATCCAAGTAGAAAGCAAATGTGTATTTACGAGTTTTTAGCACCTAATTAAATAGAAAAGGTTTGTCACCCTCCAGATTGAAAACGCCTCAATTCCAAGAGTTTTCGTAAATAAAATAGTTGTAGGAAACGATGAGATTTTAACTATTTATGAAATTTTAAGTGGATGTTAATAATTCGAGAAAAAGGAGTCTGTTCCACGGACTAATTTCTTACTTGGCTTATGTGGCCTAATATTAATTTTAAAAATATATGCAGATGCTATAGTTCGTCCGAAATTATGTGATAGCCCGGAGTTTTTTTTCTTAAGCCTCAGATTTTATCCACAAAATATCACAAAGAATTTTGATGAATTTTCCCTTTATAAAATAAAAAAATCGTGAGCTTGTGTTGTAATTATGTTTGATTTATTAACATATAAAGAAAATGAATGTTAACGAACAAATACATTGTAAATTGAATAAGTATTGATAAATTAAAGCTAAAATAAGAATAACACAACATAATAATAAGATATCAGTGGATCACAAGCTAGTGGAGGTTACGTTTGATAACTGTAAGTAAATAGATAACAGGACTAAAGGTTAAGAAGTAAAAAAATTGAAAGATTAAAAGGCAAAAATTAAATAATTCTACTTATTTAATTTAGTATTAATTTGACTACATATCCCAATCAACTCTCTCATGTGTTAATTTATTATTATGTTAATTTAAATTTAATGCCACATGAATTGCTCTCAGCTCCTGCCAACTAATTGTGATTAAACCATAGCAACAAATTTGATTAGAATTCTGTACTGTTACTGAACAAATTCTTATTTTCCTTTTTTTATATAATTTAAATAACCTTTTTTTTCTTTTTTTCTTTTGTAGAAGTCTCAAATCATGAAATTCGGAGAGAAAGTATCCCGACCCCCACGATAGCTTTAAAAAGGACGTTTATTTTTAAGTAATTTCTAACCCTCTCAGACTGTGATTTATTGTTGTACAATTAGTTTTAATCATATAATTATTGTTATTTGTTACAGAAAATATATTGTACTTTTGTAAACGTATATAATAACTGATACTGTTGAAATGCCTATATTTATGATTTTTGTGTGTTAATATTTCTTATTTTTGTATTATATATTTTATTATTATCACGTTAAAATTTTATTAAATAGCACAAAATTATTGTTTTTTTATTGTGTAATTTTTTTTTCTTTAATTTAATACTTAAACTTTTTACCTAAGTATTAAGCCTGGCTTAATTTTAATTGAATAATATATTGGCAAAACTGCTAATTCTAATTAGTAGTAATTTTTTATCTTTCTCCATTGTGCCTCTCAGTGTGGAGACATGATTAAACCTTAAGGTGAGAATTGACAAGAATCCTTGCAAATGGAAATACATTTCTTGGGAGGATACATTGGATGATTGGAACTGGTGATGGTTGATAACCCCTAATATCTTTTATTCATCCCAAAAGGATCTATCTTGAGGAAATACTTTCCCACCGTCTGGTCACATTAGAGCAAAATGGGTCCTCCCGGACTACTGGCTCTCACAATTTCTCACAGGCCATGGGGAGCTTTCGAGCAAAGCTTCTTAGCCATTGAATGGACATCGACCCCCTATCCCGTAGCTGCGGTGTTTCCAAGACTACTGAGCACATCTTAGTCGACTGCACTGCCTTTGAAAAACTAAAGGCTAAATTACTGAGGGAAACCGGTCTCTACATTCTCACAGAGAACAATTTCGTTCAGTTAATCACTGCGGAAAAATTCAAAGATTTTGTGTACGGGCGGAAAGCCACAGTGGGCCCATCTCACTTCAATCCAAGAAGAAGATAAGAAGCTAATGGACCATTGGATTCAAGAGATCCGGAACAGATGAACATCAAGCATTACTTGCAGTAGTGAGATGTTATGATGACATGCTTCAGGCATGGCAGGGTTCAAATAAATAAAAATAAGTATAAGTTTTTTATTTTATTTTTTGTAAAAGTATATTTAAATTTTTGAAGACATCAGTTAATGCTGCTAGAAATTTAGAAAACTCAGTAGAAGTCGTGGCCCTAACAATGGGAATAACGCAAGGTTGACAAATGCTACACAAATATTTTTGTTTTTTATAATCTACAATTTATACAATTACTAAGTGTTTAACTTTAACTTAAACTTCCAATTTTATCTAAGGCTGTAGCCTAACAATATTCACATCATCCCTAAAGTTCAGTGGAGAACGATATGAAAGAAATAGGTAAATATTTATTTGCAGATATCTCAAACATTTTTTAAAGGGAAGCAGAGTTAAGATTCGTATTCAGCACCCTAAAGAACCCTGAAATACGAATCTTCATAGCAATCCATAAATATAATTTTATTTCTTCCAATTTTCACCAAGGCTATAATAGCCTAAGTTTTTTAACGAAAATCACTAAAAAATTTATAACCATGGATATTGACGAATGAGGTATTAAATGAAAAGGTGTTTGATAGAGACAACAAGAAAAAATTTCACAACCTCCCTAAAGTTCAGTGGAAAAAGTTATGAAAGAAATAGGCAAATTATTATTTGCAGAAATCTCAAAAACTTTTTAAGGAGAAACAGAGTTGAGATTCCTATTCAGCACACTAAAGAACACTGAAACACGAATTTTCTTTGTAAATTTTTAGAGGTAGAACTAAGGCTAGTTTTATTTTTCGATTGCTATGAATAACTAATAAAAACTAAGCCTTGATTCAATTTCGAAGAAAAAAAGTTTTATTTTTCGATGGCTATGAAAATTGGTATTTGAGGGTTCTTAGACGTTCTAAATACAAATCTCAACTCTGTTCCTCAATAAAAAAATGTCTGAGCTATTTGGAATGAAAAATTTACCTCCTTCTCTCATAACTTCTACCGCTGAACTTCCGGGAAGAAGTGACTATGGTTTATCACTTCTCCTCCGAATACCCTTTCATTTGATACCTCATTCGTTAAAATCGGTGGTTATAAAATTTTTAATCATTTTTTACAAAAAACTAAGGCTATATAGCCTTGATTCAATTTCGAAGAAAAAAAGTTTTATTTTTCGATTGCTATGAAAATTCGTATTGAAGGAAGCTTAGACGTTCTAAATACAAATCTTAACTCTGTTCCTCAATAAAAAAATGTCTGAGCTATTTGGAAAGAAAAATTTACCTCTTTCTCTCATAACTTCTACCGATGAACTTCCGCGAAGAAGTGACTATGGTTTATCACTTCTCCTCCCAATACCCTTTCATTTGATACCTCATTCGTTAAATTCGGTGTTTATAAAATTTTTGATCATTTTTTTCAAAAAACTAAGGCTATAGCCTTGATTCAATTTCGAAGAAAAAAAGTTTTATTTTTCGATTGCTATGAAAATTCGTATTGAAGGAATCTTAGACGTTCTAAATACAAATCTCAACTCTGTTCCTCAATAAAAAAATGTCTGAGCTATTTGGAAAGAAAAATTTACCTCTTTCTCTCATAACTTCTACCGCTGAACTTCCGGGAAGAAGTGACTATGGTTTATCACTTCTCCTCCCAATACCCTTTCATTTGATACCTCATTCGTTAAAATCGGTGGTTATAAAATTTTTGATCATTTTTTACAAAAAACTAAGGCTATATATAGCCTTGATTCAATTTCGAAGAAAAAAAGTTTTATTTTTCGATTGCTATGAAAATTGGTATTTGAGGGTTCTTATTTGGAAAGAAAAATTTACCTCTTTCTCTCATAACTTCTACCGCTGAACTTCCGGGAAGAAGTGACTATGGTTTATCACTTCTCCTCCGAATACCCTTTCATTTGATACCTCATTCGTTAAAATCTGTGGTTATAAAATTTTTGATTATTTTTTACAAAAAACTAAGGCTATATATAGCCTTGATTCAATTTCTAAGAAAAAAAGTCTTATTTTTCGATTGCTATGAAAATTCGTATTGAAGGAATCTTAGACGTTCTAAATACAAATCTCAACTCTGTTCCTCAATAAAAAAATGTCTGAGCTATTTGGAAAGAAAAATTTACCTCTTTCTCTCATAACTTCTACCGCTGAACTTCCGGGAAGAAGTGACTATGGTTTATCACTTCTCCTCCGAATACCCTTTCATTTGATACCTCATTCGTTAAAATCGGTGGTTATAAAATTTTTGATCATTTTTTTCAAAAAACTAAGGCTTATAGCCTTGATTCAATTTCGAAGGAAAAAAGTTTTATTTTTCGATTGCTATGAAAATTGGTATTTGAGGGTTCTTAGACGTTCTAAATACAAATCTCAGCTCTGTTCCTCAATAAAAAAATGTCTGAGCTATTTGGAAAGAAAAATTTACCTCTTTCTCTCATAACTTCTACCGCTGAACTTCCGGGAAGAAGTGACTATGGTTTATCACTTCTCCTCCGAATACCCTTTCATTTGATACCTCATTCGTTAAAATCGGTGGTTATAAAATTTTTGATCATTTTTTTCAAAAAACTAAGGCTATAGCCTTGATTCAATTTCGAAGAAAAAAAGTTTTATTTTTCGATTGCTATGAAAATTCGTATTGAAGGAATCTTAGACGTTCTAAATACAAATCTCAACTCTGTTCCTCAATAAAAAAATGTCTGAGCTATTTGGAAAGAAAAATTTACCTCTTTCTCTCATAACTTCTACCGCTGAACTTCCGGGAAGAAGTGACTATGGTTTATCACTTCTCCTCCGAATACCCTTTCATTTGATACCTCATTCGTTAAATTCGGTGTTTATAAAATTTTTGATCATTTTTTTCAAAAAACTAAGGCTATAGCCTTGATTCAATTTCGAAGAAAAAAAGTTTTATTTTTCGATTGCTATGAAAATTCGTATTGAAGGATCTTAGACGTTCTAAATACAAATCTCAACTCTGTTCCTCAATAAAAAAATGTCTGAGCTATTTGGAAAGAAAAATTTACCTCTTTCTCTCATAACTTCTACCGCTGAACTTCCGGGAAGAAGTGACTATGGTTTATCACTTCTCCTCCGAATACCCTTTCATTTGATACCTCATTCGTTAAAATCGGTGGTTATAAAATTTTTGATCATTTTTTTCAAAAAACTGAGGCTATAGCCTTGATTCAATTTCGAAGAAAAAAAGTTTTATTTTTCGATTGCTATGAAAATTGGTATTTGAGGGTTCTTAGACGTTCTAAATACAAATCTCAACTCTGTTCCTCAATAAAAAAATGTCTGAGCTATTTGGAAAGAAAAATTTACCTCTTTCTCTCATAACTTCTACCGCTGAACTTCCGGGAAGAAGTGACTATGGTTTATCACTTCTCCTCCGAATACCCTTTCATTTGATACCTCATTCGTTAAAATCGGTGGTTATAAAATTTTTGATCATTTTTTTCAAAAAACTAAGGCTATATAGCCTTGATTCAATTTCGAAGAAAAAAAGTTTTATTTTTCGATTGCTATGAAAATTGGTATTTGAGGGTTCTTAGACGTTCTAAATACAAATCTCAACTCTGTTCCTCAATAAAAAAATGTCTGAGCTATTTGGAAAGAAAAATTTACCTCTTTCTCTCATAACTTCTACCGCTGAACTTCCGGGAAGAAGTGACTATGGTTTATCACTTCTCCTCCGAATACCCTTTCATTTGATACCTCATTCGTTAAAATCGGTGGTTATAAAATTTTTGATCATTTTTTTCAAAAAACTAAGGCTATAGCCTTGATTCAATTTCGAAGAAAAAAAGTTTTATTTTTCGATTGCTATGAAAATTCGTATTTGAGGGTTCTTAGACGTTCTAAATACAAATCTCAACTCTGTTCCTCAATAAAAAAATGTCTGAGCTATTTGGAAAGAAAAATTTACCTCTTTCTCTCATAACTTCTACCGCTGAACTTCCGGGAAGAAGTGACTATGGTTTATCACTTCTCCTCCGAATACCCTTTCATTTGATACCTCATTCGTTAAAATCGGTGGTTATAAAATTTTTGATCATTTTTTTCAAAAAACTGAGGCTATAGCCTTGATTCAATTTCGAAGAAAAAAAGTTTTATTTTTCGATTGCTATGAAAATTGGTATTTAAGGGTTCTTAGACGTTCTAAATACATATCTCAACTCTGTTCCTCAATTAAAAAATGTCTGAGCTATTTGGAAAGAAAAATTTACCTCTTTCTCTCATAACTTCTACCGCTGAACTTCCGGGAAGAAGTGACTATGGTTTATCACTTCTCCTCCGAATACCCTTTCATTTGATACCTCATTCGTTAAAATCGGTGGTTATAAAATTTTTGATCATTTTTTTCAAAAAACTAAGGCTATATATAGCCTTGATTCAATTTCGAAGAAAAAAAG